CAGTTTGGACTGAAATTTTTATTAATAAGAATCTGAATAAGAATTTTTATAATGAATTTAATGATATGCTAACAACTGCAACAATGGATAATAAAGAAATTATTCTCTCCGGTGACATGAACTGTGATTATTCCAAGCGTTCCAACAATAGAAACTTGAAGGACATAATAAAAATGAATGGCCTGAAACAAATGATTACCGAACCCACAAGAGTCACAGAGAGTACAAGTTTGCTTATAGACATTGTGTTAACAACGCACAAAGAGAATATTATAAAAGTCTTTGTGAATAGAATCGGAGTGAGTGACCATTATCTTACCGGTGTAATTAGGAAAACCAACTGTACAAAATATCCTCCAAGGAAAATTTTCGCCCGTAACTACAAAAATTATTCCGCCACAGCGTTTAAAAATGATCTCAGAAATCAACAATGGTATGACGTGATACTCCACACAGATTTTAATACTGCTTGGGACCAGTTTAAAGCTATCGTCAAAAACACCATCGACCAAGATGCCCCTTTCACAGAAAGAACCGTTCGTGGTAAGGACTGTCCATGGCTAACAAGGGATCTAAAGCAGATGATGCACGAGCGTGATTATCAGCTACGTAATGCCAAACGTACCAACAAACACGAACATTGGAGCAACTATCGGAGGCTGAGAAATCAAGCAACGTACGCCATAAGAAAAGCAAAGGCGAACTATGAACGATCAATCTTTATGGAGAATGATCTTAATCCGAAGGACTTTTGGCGTCAGGTTAAAAAATGCTATCGAATTAAAAGTAAAAAGACTGTAAGCAAAACATTTATGATAGCAAATTAACCTGTCTCCGAGAAAATATTGTCGCAAATGCATTCTGCAGCTACTTTACGCATGTAACCTCCCTAATCAACCCGTCACAACCGAACTTCGTAGACTCTGTTTGGCTGCAAACTGATTCTATGAATGATCTTCCAGCTAAAGTGAATCCGGACAGCCATCGATTTCACTTCAATGTCACGTACTACAAAGAAGTATTGGGAGTCAAAAGTAAGTGAGCGCCTCGAAAGCCGCTGGTCTGGATAATATCCCTCCTAAGCTGGTCAAAGATGCTGCAGAGGAGCTTACCACGCCATGAACTACCCTTGTAAACCGTAGCCTGACGTGTGTACTTTTTCCAACCGCTGAAAAAGCTGCTAAGATATCACCAATTTATAAGTCTCAAGATAAAACGGCTCTTGACAACTACCGACCCATTTCAGTGTTACCAGTGTTTTCAAAAGTACTGGAAAGAGTCGTCTATAATCGCTTGTCATACTACCTCGAGAAAAACAATCTTCTCAATGATTCCCAGTATAGATTTCGTCAAAAGCGGTCAACCAAGCACGCCGTGACAATCCTCATGGTGGACATTAGAACAAGTATGGACAACCAACAGCTGACAGGAGCAGATTTTCTCGATCTACGAAAGGCTTTCGACACAGTGAACCACGCACGTCTGCTTAACAAACTACCTTCCTATGTCATTAATGACGTTGAGCTAATCTGGGTATCAAGTTATTTGTTTGCCCGAACTCAGGGTGTAAACTTCGAAGGGACGTTATCAGAGGAAAGTTACATCACTCACGGAGTACCACAAGGTTTCATCCTTGGCCCTCTTCTGTTTGCGCTACTAATTAACGATGTAGATACTGATCTATCACAGTGTAGAATTATTCTCTATGCAGACGACACTGTTATCTATTTCAGCGACAAGACTGCTTCGATAATTGAAAGTACTTTAAACGGGGAAGTAAATCGAATTGCAATATGGATGAGAGATAACCATCTGACGCTCAACCTAAAGAAAGGAAAAACAGATTTTCTCTTGTATGGAACAGCGAAGAAGCTGAGTAAGGAACTCCACAAGATCAACATACGTATAAACGGAGAGAAGGTGAATGAAGCAACAAAATACATGTACTTGGGAGTGCTATTAGACCAACATCTAAACCTACATGATCATCTGGCGCAACCTATAAAAAGGCATCCTCGAGGCTAAAGTTACTAAAACGCATTAGACCAAATCTAACGTCTGCTATAGCTGGAAACGTGTACCACAGCTTGATTCAGCCTATAGTAACATATTGCCCAACTGTTCACCTGGGACTTCCAAGCTACCAGATAGACAAACTTCAGGCAATCCATGACCGAGGAGAGCGTATCGTGTGCCCCAAGGGAGTGACAACAGAATGGAAACAAATTTCCGATGTCATTGACGAGCAGGTCCTGATAGATGTGCATAAGTCTATACGATGTGTATCTCCGCCACAATACCATACCTATTTTAAAGTTCTCGAACATTGAAAGAACACAAGAGGAGATGGCTGCTCTCTCGTTATCCCGAGAGTAAAAACTGAAGTAGGAAGGAAGACCTTCAAATTTCAAGGAAGTTTGTTGTTTAACAAACCTCCAAAAGAACTAAAAACTGAAAAATCTGTTGTTATTTTTAAACGAAATTTAAAACATCTCTACAAATAATTTTTATATCCATGTAAAACATTTTTTAGACAGCCTTGAACTATGAATATTGACTTAATTTGACTTCTTATAGAGACATTTTCTAATAGAGTTTTTATATTAGTATATTATTTGTAAACACAGGTCCTTGTAGGATACCAGCCATTGAACTCCACAGCTGAACAAGTTAACCTGTTAAAATATAGAATATAATAATAATAATAATAATAATAATAATAAGATTAAATATAATGAAGTTTAAAGAGCGGATGTAGTTTGTAGTTTTCTATACAAACTTCCGTGTAATCTTAATAGACGGCAAAAAGTCTGCAAACTGCACAGGCTGCGCTCTCAATGTATCACGTGAACCGTTAAGCTTACGTCAGTGAACTATATACATGGAAGGCTGACTTCAGTCATTGACGTAATCAAAAAGTGAAGCCAAAGATGGCGGATTTTGAAGCCATTCTTGCGCGTCATTCTTAGTCTCCTTACCCGCGCGGCCAAACATTTTTTGTATTTTCATGGCGGGAAGTGATGGGTCCGCGATTCTCGGGTTGTGTTTTTCTTCATTTTAAAAGAGCAAAAAAGGAAATAAACTTCATTTATTTCATGTAAACCTGGTTTCCTTGATCTACTCGATCTGTCTACTGCATTTTCCCACTGTATGTGTGAGTAAATCTGTATTTTTCGTTGCGAATTCAACAACTAATTTCAAACTTTTTTGTTTTTTTGATATAAAATCTGTATTTTTATAAATTGGCAATTTATTTTTGCTTTGTTAGTTTCGTTTTCTTGTTTCTATGGTGCTTTTCAGTTTTCACACCATTATTTAGCTTACTTTAGTCGGTTTTCCTGACCTAAAACTGCTTTTTAACTGCAGTTTTCGAGGCAGTTTTTAGCCAATTTAATCCCATACATGTAAGAAAATTCTGTTTTTTTATTTTCCATTTAATAAAATCACTTTGATGATTGCCTTTTAAACTTAAACTGTTCATTTTAATGAGTTATTCATGTGTGTGAAACTCTTGTCGATAGGGGCAATAGAGATATTTTGAAAGATTGAGTGACTTTGTGTTTCGTTTTGTCACTCCTTGTCATTTTACAAAAACAGCAATCCCGCGCTATTTTGCTTTCTTTCCACTCAAATATCACATCTCCTAAACAAATAATAATTAAAATTTACAACCGAACCCAAACAGAATACCAGAATTCAACTTTTCATTCAAATTTCGTCTGTTTTTCACCAGATGTTTACTCGGAAAGTAAAGAAAAATATAAAAGTTTTGTTGACCGCGCACGCAAGGGGACTGAGAATGACGCGCAAGAATGCCTTCAAATTCCGCCATGTTGGCTTCACTTTTTGAGCTCGAGTCAGACTTCCATGTTATATAGTTCAGTGGCTTACGTAAGCACGGCGCACGCGACATCAGTTGCGTCAACGGAAAAAAACTTTCAAATTGGAATTAGAATTTTCAATTAACAACCTATTTAATTTGAATAATTGGATTCTTCGCGTTTTGGGGGAAGCTTGATTGAGATATATCATCCAATAATTTTATCTACGAAAGCTTGTGAACATACGAACATGAATATCATCAAGATTTCTCCTTGCATCGTCCTTGTGATCCTGTTTTGTGGACTAAACTTTTCCATTTTATCGAATGAGAAATGTCAATTTAATCACACGAAATGGTCTGACTTTTACGGCTCCAATTTGAAATTCGTAGCAACTCGCGCACGGAACAGTTGTGTTTGTTTTGTTCAAGCATACAAACTTAAACGTTTTCTTAAACGAAGAATCAAATATAGTACAAAGTCATCTGCCACGTTTAATCCAGCGATAGTGATGTTAACAAGAAGCGGCGTAAATCTAGTTAATCCCGGTCCTGAACAACAACGCCAAAAAACTGTTAGTGTCAACGTCGTGCAAGAACCAAATGCGAAGTCTTCAAACTGCAACCGTCGTTTGCCTAAACACGAACTCTCGTTAGCGCATTTTAACTGTAGAAGTCTAATGGCTCATATTGACGAACTGAGATTAACTTTTCAGAATATCAATCCTTTATTTATTGGCATAACGGAGACATGGCTGGAAAGCTCTATTGCGGATTCGAAAATCGAACTACCTGGATTCTCCGTAAATCGCCTTGATCGGAAAGAAAACCGCAGGGGAGGAGGAGTCGCACTGTACTTATCAAGTAACGTGAAATACACCAGAAGAAAGGACTTAGAAGAAGATTTTGAAGTAATATGGGTTGAAATTAAACTGCAAAAAACAAAGTTTTTAATCGGATGTGTGTATCGGGCTCCAGATGAAACTCTCCGGATTTTCGATTACCTTGACGATGTTATGAGATATGCGACAAGAAATAAGCTAGAAGTCATTATTGTTGGTGATCTTAATTGTGATTGTTTAAACGCAACTTTAAAACAAACAGAGAGGCTGTTAAAATTTACAATGGTCAACGAACTTGAACAGTTGATAAATGAACCTACTCGCGTTACGTCCGCTACTAGTACTCTCATTGATGTCTTAATCACTTCAACGCCTAATTTGTTTAAGGACTCTGGAGTTATGGATATAACATTAAGTGACCATTACCCTATTTATGGTGTTATGCACGGTCCAGCAACCCACTCCAAGAAACATCGGATAATAACAACGCATTCCTGGGATGACAACAAAGTGAATGCTTTTCTGGCTGATCTGAAACACGCTCCGTGGAGCCTGGTTGATTCTTTCGACAATGTGGACAGTATGTGTTCTGTATGGGAATCACTAATGAAATCCTTAATTGGCCAACATTTCCCCTTAAAGCGAAAGCGTATTCGAAGACAGACTCACCCATGGCTTGATAGCACTACACTCAAGCTCATGAGAACACGTGATCAAATGCACAAAAAGGCAAAAAGATCAGGACTGTCTCAGGACTGGAATGAATACAGACGCCTTCGTAACAAAGTAACCGAAATAAACAGAAAGGCAAGAAAAGATTACTTCAGAAACAAGCTTGAAGAAAATCGTGGAAAACCTAAAGCTTTCTGGGACACATTACGTCTGATCCTTCCATCCAAGAAAAATTGCAATGAAATTGAAAGGTTAGTGGTTGATGGTGAAGAGTTAAGTGACAAGCGTGACATTGCTAATTCTTTAAACGAATATTTTACAACAATTGCATCCTCGTTGTTAGCCAGTCACCAATCCCACGAGTACCTAGCAGCTCCACAGCAGGAAAACGACCCGGTCATTTTAAACAACACTTTTAAATTTCGTGTCTTGAATGAAGACGACGTTTTCAACGTCTTACAAACAATGGATATATCGAAAGCTACAGGAGCAGACAATATTTCGGCTAAAGTCTGGAAGACCGCTGCTCCCTATATCAGCAACGTTGTATCTAATATATTCAATGCATGCTATCAGTACGGTCGCTTTCCATCTCCGTGGAAAACGGCGAGAGTGACACCATTGTTTAAAGGCGGGTCCAAGACTGATCGTGACAACCGAAGGCCAATTTTCGTTCTGCCCTGCATATCAAAGGCGCAAGAAATGTTCGCCAATCTCGATCTACAAGAATTCGCAGCTGAGAATAATCTTATCGGTGACCATCAATTTTCGTACGCCAGAAACTCGTCAACTACAGCAGCACTTATTATTACCGTTGACTCGTGGAAGTTTGCTATAGACAAAGGAGAGAAAGTTGTTTGCACCTTCCTAGACTTGAGAAAGGCGTTTGACATCATAGATCATGACATCTTGATAAGCAAACTATCGAAAAGCGGAGTGACTGGAAACGAACTGAAATGGTTCACGAGTTATCTACATGAACGGAAGCAATATGTCTCGTGCGAAGGCGTAGAGTCGGAACGGCGTTTAATTACACACGGAGTTCCGCAGGGTTCAGTCCTCGGGCCAACGCTATTTAACATCCATATAAACGGGATCGCTGATGCGTGCAAGGACAGTGAGGCGGCGTTGTACGCAGACGATACAGAAATCCATGCGAGCTCGAAAGACATTGACGTGGCGGAACAACGGGTCAACCAAGATCTTGAAAGTATCGTGATGTGGTGGAATCAGAACGGCCTAATCAGTAATCACAAGAAGTGTGAGGCAATGCTGATTGGATCGAGATATAAAATCAAGAGTTTATCCAAAACTTAAATTGCGTAACAGAATTTCACATTTTCTTAGCCGCAATGTTTTGCTAAAGATCTACAAGCAAACTGTGCTTCCTCTGTTAGATTACGGATGCGTCGTATGGGCTGAATGCGGAAAGAGAAACGTCCAAAGCTTAGAACGACTACAAAATCAAGCGATGCGGATAGTGTTACACGCGAACCGTAAGACATGTACTCAGGAGATGCGTGCTAAATTACACCTTTTGTCACTGTACGGAAGACGTCGTCTTATAAGATTGCAATACGTTTATAAGATCGTAAACAACATAAACT